TACCCTCTTCTTGTATAATAGAGATTATCGATTCAGTCCGATCGACCGTTCGGTCGTGTTCGCGTCTGCCGTATACCGGGAACCATTTTGTCGCCGCGTTGCGTCGTCCGCCATTACGCGACGGTAACCGGGGATTTCGGTTCGCGCGTAAACACGCGGATCCCCGTGGATGGATCGGAGTAATCTCTGTGTATAATCTACGGGAGTAGTAGTCGAACGGTAAATAAAAGAGAGAAAAAACGGAACGGAAGAGAAAAATTGAAAGCAAAGAAGATATCGAAGGCGCAGTGGGGAGAGAGAGAGAGAGTGAGAGAGAGAAAGTCTCTCTGGTGTGCCGGGTGAAAGAGACGAAAAGACGTCGACGGGGAACGAAACGGAGAGACAGAATCGGCACGTTTCGCAGTAGTGTCGCGCGATTTCTCTCTCTCTTTGCCGGGACACCGACCGTTCGCTTTTTATTTTCTTCATTTTCCATCGTTCGATCTATACACACGCGCGCCGCGTACACACGTGCGCGCTGCCGTTCGAAAGTTTGGAGCGCCGTTACGACGGACAAAGCTTTTTTGTGCGCGCATTGTTCTCCTTACTTTTTCCATTGATTTTCGAATACGCTGACGGTATTTTCATCCTGCCGGCGCACACCATCGCGCGCGTTATATTAATAGGGTTAATTAGTACGGTGTATAATATGTTTGTGCAGGCGACATCTGTGTGCGGATAAGGCTTCATTTATTTAAACCGACAGAACTGCGCTCCAAATTTTCAACAGCGGCGCTCTTCTACAGGGTGTTCCTCGTAACACGGAGGTGCCGCGATAATGGATTCTAAACGGGAAGATAACGAGAGGACAGCTTGTATTCGACGCATATCCGATAGTTATTCTCTACTGTTATCATCGGAACTTTGAAACATCGTTATTCAAAGGAATCAATGCCCCAGAAACTTTCTCTGTGCTTGAAAAATCATACGGAATCGGAAATACGTTACGCAAATGTCTTTTTAGTAGTCCGACGTCCAGAATCCATGCTCGCAGTTCCTTCTCAAAGCTCGATTCAGACGAGCGAGTTTTGCCTCCGCGCTCGCCGAGATATGGGGCATGCATCTCCCGAAGAATACTAGAACGAGACTGCAAGACACGTGCAGCATGAACAAACGTGTGCATAAAACTTTTTTTTATGCATGCGCTCATTTGAAGCTAACTAAAAGATGCGCGGGATTCCGATGAAAAATGCTGCATTCGGAAGTCGCGCTGTATCCGAACCGTAACGACTCTGTATTAACATTTTCTTCCATAGTTCTAATCGTTAATGTCTGCGATAAAGAAATAACAATTGCATTATAATTCTTTCTATATGTTCCGGTAACTTTCGCCTTGGGAGCACGCGCAGATGCACGTTGTCTGCTGAAAATTACGCGCAAAGCTCGCTCATCCGAATCGCAATTAAGAGGAACACGCCGGCCCGGTTTCTCGGTGTCCGCCGCTGTAAGAAAGAACTCTCGCTGTGTCCGGGACCTCCGATCAAACGAATTCGCTCAATGGTTTTTCCGTTCTTCATTCTTTCGATTGGTTCACTGTTGCGTTACCTTTTTTAGTTTTGGAAACCGTTCAACTATGGTTTGGACTTTACCAGTAGTGACGACTGTGCCTGCCACCTTGCTGTGCTCGTACTTGGAGGATCAGCACCCGGGCATGTTGTTTGATCCCCAAGTCACCGAATGGTGGCACGGTGCGCGCAGCGGAAGGTCCCTCGCCGGGACGAACCTCGTAGCCTAGGGTCGTCCATCTTACCGTTTTCACTGGGGGGAGAACGTGCGATCCTCCAAGAACGAATCATGACACCCCATACGCAATCCCTTAGGGACCGATTAATATATATATATTTACATAACGAACGCATCGTTGTAGCTTGTTAGGCCGCCCAGAATTTATTCTCGTTTTATTATAATAGAGGGTGATCGTTAGGGGATCGTTCGAGCTTCGCGGTGACTTGTCCTGGTAAATTGGGGTTCTATCGGGAATTAAAATGAGATACTTCAATTTTCTATTATTTTCCGGGAGTTTGAATTGAGATTGGATTTATATGCAGAGTTGACTTTTGATGTTGATGTTTCTGTTTGAGATAGGATGCGATTTGGGCCACCCTAACGAGCTGCATACGCGTGCGCGTGATACACCGCATATTCTATATATTATTCTTCTTATTATTATTATCTACCTACCTATATCGATCTCATTATATTCAGCACAACACAGATCGCTTAAATTATATTCAGCTTAAACATACTCCAACTTTATATATCGCAGATAATCCAGCCCTCAGATTTTATACTTACCATACTTTTCATTACGCCTATTACGTATCTATTACATGATATATATGCATGCGTTCTACTCTCACGAAAGTACCGAAAGAAACAAGACACCCTCGCCCTGCCAGACCCCCAAAAACAAA